AACAGACTAGTAGCAACGGCTATTTATAGATCGACTATATGGCAAATTAGGAATAAAGTCAGATATTTTTTCACAAAATACACGGACATCGAGTTAAAAGAAATATTTCAAGCAAAGCTAAGACAGACTGGGAACTCTCACTTAACTGAGAAAAAAGAAATATACAGGAAAGAAATAAATAAAGTATTAGTTTTAATTTAGACAGTCTCAAGCCAAACACCACTCGATCAGCCCCCAAGTAAATTTACATTTGAACAGTCTTCTGTTTCCCGGGTTTTAAAATGCACAACCTGAATGGTAGAAAGAGATACACGCATCAACCCTCCCCCCCCCCCACACACACACTCCCCCCCCCCCCCCCCCCCCCACTCAACCGGACTGGCGGATATTTCAAGGTAGCGTGCCCTCATTGCCAAGGGTCAATTTTATGTCATGGAAAGTTTTGGAATGATAGATCAGTATGTGTATTACAGAGACACTTCTCCCACGGTCGTTTCTATTTCTGTCCATGGGTGGCTACAATGTGAACTTTTGACTCCGCAGCACAGTAAACTAAGCAGTCAAGAGAAACCTAGTTTGCACACCTTATTTTAATCTAGTTCTTATGCCATTTTATTTTCTCCCTTTGATTATTATATATGCAATTGATGTTCATTGTTCATGCCTTTGATGCTGTGTAAAATCTATCAAATATATTATTATTACTGATTTAAATGTTTAAAACAATTGAATTAATTTAAAAAAAAAAAAAACAACTGTTTGAGGACGGTATAGATATAGATGTTTGAAAGTGAAAAATGTTTGCTTTGATGTGTCTCATTGTAATAACATAACTTTTCCGATTGCTTAAAATTTGTATAATTTTAACTCTCGGTAATCCCAATTTTTTTTTCAGCTCTACTTAAAAACCCAAATTCCACCCCCCCCCCTGCCCCTCAGCCCACCACGCACGCCGGGAAAAAAAATCCCTTGAATCATCATTTAATTACACATTTGCATTTTCAGTTTCAGGTTGGTTTTTAATTTTAATTTTTTCTTTATATTTAGACGTTTTGTATTAGAATTATGTATAAGTAAACCATCTTAAATGAATGAAAGCAGGCTACAAGTAAGAAAGAAATATTACTATTGTAAATCTGTATCAGTCCTCACAAGCCGATGATGAAAACTGTAATACTAAAGCGAACACACAACTGACGCTATAAATTACGTGTCTGAGGCGAAAAAAAAAAAACGAATGAAAACGTCAAGTTGTAAATCTATTACGGTCCGCATATGTCGCATTATGAAATTCAAATAATTTAATAGACAGCGATCGCCTTCGGGACAAAGCTCAGGCGCGCTGAAAACAGTTACGTGACCAGACCTTAAAAAAACAAACAAAAAACAACAGAACAATTTTGCAGAAATCGAAATTTTAAAATAATCTCGACGTGTTACACTTCCTTAAGTCGGAAAAATACTTTTCTCTGTCTGTGTGTCTGTGAACACAATAACTACTATTTCAGTTATGTTGACCAAATTTCATACATAGATTTTATAGAAAACCTGTATTTCTGTATCAACTTTATAACGATTTCCGGTAACCGGAAGTGGTGCTTTACTTCTAGAGGTTTCTGAAATGCCAATAAATTGATTACCGTTGAAGTTAGTTCCTAAGCACTCGACATAACAGCCAATCCCCAATTTATTAATCATTCAAGTTCTCAAAAGTTAATTGAAAACCTAAGCGAAGCTAGGCAATATGCCTAGTACTTTATAAATTCATATTCGTTTTTTGAGAAATCGGAAATAGCAAAAATTACCACTTCCGGTCAAAGAAATTACTGAAAATTTGATAGAAGGCAGAGAATTAGATATTTTATTTAAATCTGAAATTTAATTTATCTATCTGAATAAATAGTACTCAAGTTATAGGCCTTTGAAAAATTCAAAGTAGAAAAAGTTCCACTTCCAGTTATCGGAAATCGCTTAAATGTTGACACGGATCTACGTTTTTATATAATACTTGTATATGAAGTTTCATCATCCTAGCTGTAACGGTACTCAAGTTATCCTGTTTACACACAGACACACACACAGACAGACAGACACACCGACATACGGACAAGATTGCAAAACTATGTTTTTCCGACGCAGGGAGCTGTAAAACGTCGGGATCTGCAAAAATCTCGATTTCTTTTTGCACGATTACAAGACTTTCTCTATACTTCGTATATACGAGAAAGTAAAAAAAAAAACTATAAACTATGGGATACCATAATGATTTTGTGTTCAGGAACACTACAAATTTTTGTGGCTATTAATTTTGTTTTAGAGTACTTCAAATTATACTTAAAATCTGTCGTTTTTTCTTTACTTCGTATATAGAATCTACGAGAAAGTAAAAAAATAAAATCAGTGTTTGCTTTATAAAGCACTAATTTTCCGCTCTATTATATACATTGTTTACGTTTATTTGGCGCGCAATTCTTATTTCTAAGCGATATAATTCTATTTTTAAAATGTAAGAACGTTTTGGGGAGAGATGATAACTTCCGTTCTATTTAAATATGTGAATACTCAAAATACGCCTGTTTTATTGACGTGAGCAAAGATCACTGTACGTAGTAAAAGCTCACAAATAAGTAAATGTGTATTTGCTTATCTGAACATTTATTTGCCAATTAGCTTCTTTTCCTATATTGTTCATTTAATTTTAGTATGTTAAGTATGGGTTTTAAAAAAAATCATAACACTTAATAAGTAGAGCCCCACCCCCACTAAAAAACGTCTACATCGAAATATAATTTTTATATAGAAAATATATACTTTTACCAGCTTTCACCCCCTCTCCTCCCCCCTCTCCTCCCCCCACCCCCCCCCCCCCCACCCCCCGTAAAATTTAGTCCGCGTCACCCTTTTCAAGAAAATTTGAAGTGCCCACTCCAGAAAAAAAAAATGTCTGAAAGAAACACTGACTTTAAGACGTGGAAAACTGGGGATTCGTCAATTTTTTGGATTATAACAGGAGGCAATGGCAAACTCTTGTAACCACTTTGTCTATAACACACTTAAATCAGAGGCGTAGCGACCCTTCCGGCGCCCGGGAACAAACTTTCGATTTGCACCCCCTCAAACTTTCGATTTGCACCCTCCCCCCCCCCCCCCCTTAAGATTTCGATTTGCAACCCCCCCCTCAAACTTTCGATTTGCACCCCCCTCAAGCTTTCATTTTTATTTTTCCAACCCATTTTGGCGCCCCCTAAGGTCGGCGCCCCCCCCCCCCCCCTCGCTACGCTACTGACTTAAATCCGATTCATTAATAGAAGCCATAGTTCCCTCCGACGTATAGAGCCGGGAACAAATGGATCCCAATGCCATTTTGTGATGGGACCCCTTGATCCCACTACAGTACCAAACCAACATTTAATTAAGCCGGCCAGACGGTCGTCATTAAATAACCGTTAACACAGTGACGTAGAGCAAACAATATGGCGACTGACTAATGAGGAGGAATCACCCTGTTATGTGTACCATATTGCGTAACGTAATTGTCTATAGCTTGTATTAGTCTTTGGTCTTCTATTTATTTTTATCCAGTCTACCATTGTTCATAATTATAGATGTTTTTTGTTGGCACATATTTTTTCTTGTAAGCTAAAATGCTTAGTTTTTATTTTCTCGTATAAGAGATAGAGAGGAAGTATAGGTTAGAAAGTCTGTTATCATACTCAATTTTTGAAAAAAAATTAGCATTAATGAAACCGGAAGTAATTTTGTACTTATTACACAAATGTTATAAAAAATTATTTTAGTTTAAATATATGCTTTCCAGCAACATAAATTTGGAACCATTTGAAACCAGATTATCAATCGGGAATACGTTTTACACCAACCTGATTCAGAAAATCTTAAGTTTTGCAATTTTGTCCCTATATCTATAAGTGTGTATGTGTATGCATGTGTGTATGTCTGTGAACACGATAACTTGAGTACCGTTACAGCTAGGTTGATGAAATTTCATATGTAAATATTATATCTAATTTGTAGTTCAATGACAACTTTTCAGCGATTTCCGTTAACCGGAAATGGAACTTATTCTACTTTTAGTTTTTAAAATGCCTACAACATGATTACTATTTCATATAGATAAACAAAATTTCACGTGTAAGTAACAGATATAGTTCTCTGCCTTCTTTTAAATTTTGAGTAATTTCTGTTGACCGGAAGTAGTACTTTACGGTATTTCAGATTTTTAAAAACAGATTAAATCTAACGGACCGATTTTTTCTAAACTTGTCACCTAGGTGTAGATTCAATGACTATACACTGTGACATAAAATTTGGCTGTATTAGATGTTTGATTAACTTTTTAAAAAAAAAACGCATATGAATTTGTAAAGTACTAATATTCCGCACTATCATATACACCTTGTTGGCTGTTCGCTTGTTGCGCAGTTCTTATTTTTTTACGAGATTCTATTCTATTTATAAAATTATAAGCAATTAAAGATTGATTTAAAATAATATCTATATCCCGAGTTACATTCCCTTAGTGTTATATAAAAATATTACGAGAAAGTTTAGGGGAGATCACTCCCACTTTATTTTATTAGTAAATCTACTTTGCTTTTTTCCCCCGCAAATCTGCTTTGTTTTTTTCTCTCAAATCTGCTTTGTTAGCTAAACTATTTGTTTTTTTAATCTGTTTTGTTAATTAGCTCGCATCCTGATGTTTTTATGTGCGAAAACTTACAATGTACATTCATCAAATCTACAGTGCTTACCCGATGACATACAGGTTTAGCCGGTGACCAACTGGTTTAGGTGGTGACTAACTGGTTTAGGTGGTGATATACAGGTGTAGGTGGTGATATACAGGTTTAGGTGGTGATATACAGGTTTAGCTTGTGATATAGTGGTTTAGGTGGTGACATTCTGGTTTAGGTGGTGATATACTGGTTTAGGTGGTGATATACTGGTTTAGGTGGTGACATACTGGTTTAGGTGGTGACTAACTGGTTTAGGTGATGATATACTTGTTTAGCTGGTGATATATTGGTTTAGCTGGTGACATAATGGTTTAGCCGATGACATCCTAGTTTTGCCGGTGACATCCTAGTTTTGCTGGTGACACAACTGGTGACATCCTGGTTTAGCTGGTGATACAGCTGGTGACATCCTGGTTTAGCTGGTGACACAACTGGTGACATCCTGGTTTTGCATGTGACATCCTAGTTTTGCTGGTGACACAACTGGTGACATCCTGGTTTTGCATGTGACATCCTGGTTTAGCTGGCGACCTACAGTTTTAGCTGGGTGTCGTGTGATGCTCCGACGATGGTGTTGTTGACGATGCAGCTGGTGTTTGGCACGGCTGTAGCTGTTGTCGTGTGTGTCCTTGTCTGGTGGTTCAGGTAATGGTTTACCATCACATCAACGTGATTTAGTTTGTGCAAACACTGCAACCATACATGCAACTATAAATGTAATGAACACGCTGCCTTTTTTTTTTACCTACAAAACCTTATCTCTCTCTTTCTCTCTCTAACCCCCCCCCCCTCTCTCTCTCTCTTCTCTCTCTATATATATATATATATTATATATATATATATATATATATATATATATATATATATATATATATATTTATTTATTTATTTATTTATACATAAAGAAATACATACTTCATAATATTAAAAATGTAAAATACCTATAAAATACTATTATATATATACATAAAGGAATACATAATTTATAATATTGAAAATGAAAAATAAATATTTGTATTAAATTTATCATTTTCACACAGGTATATTAAATCACATTACACCGTATTTACAAAATTGGGAATCCCCGGACCAAAACCAACGTTTCTCTTCGGCAATGCCTTGGCCTTTGCTAACAAGGTAAGACATTCAACATTGCTTGCCAAGATAGTAAATATATTAATATATTATTTTAGGCGCCCCCCCCCCCCAATCCCTCTTCAGATGGTCCTCAACATGCCTGGAGAGACCTTATTCAATTATTGTGACAAATCTGAAAGATAAAAAAAAACTTATGGTTCTTTCTTTTTAAAAAGCCAAACCTCCTGAAAACCCTCAAACAGCTTTCAAAGCTGTAAAATCAGAAAAAAAGTTACATTATCCGGGGTGTTTAGGGCAAATGAAGTAGTTGAACGTGGTTCAACTAGGTTGAAGTGACCTAGTGTTTATATGGTATTTATGCGCAGCCGCGTTTTATATCATCATACTTGAACAAGGTCGCCATTACAGTTAAGTGGATTCACAGGAGTCCATCAATATATATATATATATATATATATATATATATATATATATATATATATATATATATATATATATATGTGTGTGTGTGTGTGTGTGTGTGTACATATATATATATATATATATATATATATATATATATATATATATATATATATATATATATATATATATATATATATATATATATATATATATATATATATATATATATATATATATATACATATATATATATATATACATATATATATATATATATATGTATATATATATATATATATATATATAATATATATATATATATATATATATATATATATATATATATATATTTCTATTCAACTGTCAACAAGCATCTATGCGTTCATATTTTACTGCTGCATATATTTCCCCCGCTAAAGATATTTTCTGCACTGCTAATAAAAATTTGCCACTTGCAATAGATTTCCCCAGACGTTCGCCTATTTTCAAACGATGAGAGATGTAATACCTTTTGTCATAACAAGATCAGCTTGAGATATATGGGGGATAAGGGTACAGGGACGTCTCGCTAGGGGTGGCACAGGGGCGTATCTCTCTACTTAGTCTCCAGGGGTGGTACAGGGGGCGTTTCTCTTAAGTGCAATACAGGGGCGTATCTGTCTAGGGGAAGATGAAATCTGGTAAACATAGATTTAAACTGACACGTCAAGAAAAACTGTTTTTGAAAAAATAAAAACAATGTGTACGTTTTTTATAATAGATACTACAGAACAGTTTAGTAGAGAACAAAAGTTCACAGACAGAAAATCGCGAAAATTAGATCTATTATCAGGGGAGTTTTAATTAATTTTGGGTAACAAATATAGACACATATTTGAAAGTTTTAGTGGTTCTGTCAAAATGTTTGTAAACAAACGTATAATCGCGATTATAATCAGCCTGAAAACTGACAATACCTTTGTAGGTGGTTCTTTTTAAAATGTAGATATTTTAAATGACAGATTATAGTCAAATGCAAGTTTTAATATATATATATATATATATATATATATATATATATATATATATATATATACGAAACATTTTCATTCAATCCATCTTGTTTAGTTTCCTATGGACGTATTTAAGGACTGGACAAAGGAATACGGCCATGTTTATGGGTAAGTTCTAAAACACATTTACATACTCCACATTTTGTGTAAGGAGATTATTTAATTTTATAAAAAGGTATACATCCTACTTATATTAACAGTAATAAATTTGTATTTCCAGATTTTATGAGGGTTTGAGGCCAAGTGTAGTTGTCTCTTGCCCAGATATGGCTCATAAAATTTTGGTCAAGCATTTTAACCAGTTCTCTGTTAGGCCGGTAGGTTCAGTCGACAAAGAATGCAAGTATAATTAAAAAAAACAACAATTTAATATAATTATTTTTTTTAAAAATTGAAATATAATAATCTCAATTAACTGGCGTCAACAGTATTACAAGAAGATAAAAAGGAAATAAAAATTAAATCAGCCGCTGGTTGATTTTAATAACACTTGTTTTAACGGTTTGCTTGACCTCACAGGTCATTAACCCCTTCAAGCACGAACACCAGGAGCTGAGTCTACAGAACGTGAGTGGTCAGCTCTGGAAACGTCAGCGTCAGGCGGTCAGTGCCGGGCTAACGGCCAGGTGTGCTCGGCAGGTAGGCAAAGACCGTTCCGTTGTGCCGTACTCTGTCTTGTGTGCAGAAACAAAAGGCGTAGCGATTCTTTCCAGCACCCGGGCAAACAATCAATTTTTTTACCCTCCCCCCCCCATGTAAATTACGGCAGGCACAATGACTAAAAGCACCCCCCCACACACACACACACACCAAGTTGGAATTATCGAGGCGCCTTTTACCCGATACTGTCATCTATTTCTATTTTTGTGTAACAATAAAATTAAGCAATGCGCGTTATGAGCGTTACTTTTTTTTTACCCAGTTTGGCACTCCCCCCCCCCCCCCCTTAGCATAAATTGAGCACCTGGGGCGGCCGTCACACTCGTCCTCCCTTCGCTACACCTCTGTGCAAAAGTTCAAGCAATTGAACGGTGAAGGGTGTGGGGTCGGCGTACATATAAACTGGAACTGACTCTAGCCCTGACAATATCCCATACCATAACCAGGACCTTAATCTTAGCCGAGCTATGATCCAAGTCGTCCTCTTTTTACATACTTGATGCAAACTAAAACGAATTAGGCTCTGTACTTTATCAGCATCCATCTTGATAAAAATGCATGTTCAGCCTACAAGTTTGTACCCGTTTACTCCCAATGTAACCATTTCTTATTGTGTGTATCGTACCTTGTAACGATGGGACAATGACACTACTCTATACTGTATCAGTAGGTAAGTTTAAATCTAACACTATTTGTCATCATAACTTCAAATCATGTGTTTCTTTCAGAACCCCCCCCCCCCACCCCCCTCCCTCGCCGAATCAAATCTACCGCCTCTCGCTCAAACAAAATAGGAAAATTACTAAATTTATATCGAAAATATACTTTTATAAGTATCCGCCCCCACCCCCGTAAATTTATTCCGCCCCCGCCCCTCCCCCCCCCCCTGCCCCGAAAGTGTAAGGTGCCCCCCACCCCAGGAGAAAGAATTGTGAATGAAACACTGCTCGATCCCTATCCTTACGTCTATTTATAGCTTTGTTATTTGACCAATTGTGACGATTGCACGTGGTTTTTATTACAGATGTACCCAACAATTAATCACGTGACCAATCAGCTGATGACCTGGTTTGAAGGTGCCATTGAAAGGTCACCGAACGGTTTCTACATAGACGAGTAAGATCTAGATTAAACGCTCTTGTAAATGTAGTCTTAGTAATACATTTAAAACTTTCAGTTACTAGTTAAACAAATCAGCTTCTTCTTCATCAAACCTGCCTGTTTGTTTGATAAGGTCAAACTCTCTTCAAATGTAGTAATACATTTAACACTTTCCAATAAAGGATGCGAGATAGCATTAGCCTAACTAAACAAAATGAATAGGTTCTTCCTTAACCTGTCTGTTTGATCTAGGTTTAACTCAACTTAAAATGTAGTAATAGCTTAAGTTAGTAAAGTTCCCTTTTCAAACCTGACGGTCTATAGCAGGGGTCTCCAAACTACGGCACGCGGGCCGGATGCGGCCCGCGAGGTCTTCTCATCCGGCCCTCGGAGATCTTTTTGTCCTCGGAAAAAAAACTTTGTTGGAGGTGGCTGAGAAAAAATTCAAAGAAACTGAAAATGTAGCAATGAGTGCGAATACCATTGAAGCAAATGTGGCCAGTTGCCCAGCAAATGACCTCCTTAAAGACATGTTAAATAAGGGTGGGTGGGTTTTATAAGTATTTGCCCAAGGAAGACTTTCCTAATATTAAAACTTTTGCATCAATGTAAGTGCTTTTCAAATTTTAGAACAACATACAAACTTTATCAAGAATGAAGTTGGCCTACTTGACGATCAATTTGAGAACAAACTTAGACCTCAAGTGTGTTGTTGGTCCCGTACAGTGTTTCTTTCAGACTTTTTTCTTGGGTAGGGGGCACTTGAAATATATATATATATATATATATATATATATATATATATATATATATATATAAATTTTGTTGGAGGTGGGGTTGACGTTCTTTGGGGGGGGGGGGGGGGGGGGAGGACTCCGCCACCTCGAAGATACGCCTGGAAGAAACTCTGGCCCCCCAACTTATATTTGATAGTTAATGCGGCCCTCGCGCTGAAAAGTTTGGAGACCCCTGGTCTATAGGGTAAGTGAAGTAGAGTTCACTTGTTTCTGTGACCTCGACATATGAAGGGATAGTGTGGTCAGCACTATGCCCAGCCGCCTTTACTTTCTATAACGTGAGTTAGATACCCACCAGAGTTGGGTGGACTCAGGGACGGTCTACTGACTTGAACCCGGAATCGAACTCAAGACTTACGGGTTAGCAGTCCGGTTCTCTACTGCTAGACCACTCCGTTTAGTGAACAAGTTCTCCCCTAATCTGTATGCATTCAGAACAATACATCTGTGTAAAACGTTTTTTTTTTCTTTTAGAAATTCGGAACAAACACATTTTTTAAGATAATCGGCAAATATAATGTAATTTTTTTTCTCAATAATTTTTAGCATTATGGAGAGGTACTCACTTGATTGGTTCGCGCAGGCTTCCCTTGGTTACCATAGCGACGCCATGACCAATGAAAACAATGTGTTGCTGCGCTACATGAGAGCGTCCCACCAATCCATGTCCCCTGACAACGCGATTGGCGGCTTGGCAAGTATGTCGTTTTCAAGTGATAGTAACACTTTTTTATAATACGTTTTTAAGACACTTTTTATAACACGTTAATATAACAGTGTTTTATAGTAAGTTTTATAACATGTTTTTATAATACTTTTTTATAACACTTTTATAGCACGTTTTTTAAATTATTACCTTGATAACTTAATAAAATAGCTTCGCAAATAACAATAAATTATTCAAATCTTCACCCTGGATATCAATCTTAACTTTCCTATTGCTTTATTTCTAATCATATAATTCGGCCTACATCTACCAATGTTTCTTTCAGACGTTCTTTTTCGAGGGTATGGGGATTTTATTTTTTAGGGTTGGGGGGGGGGGGGAGGGAGGGGGGTACACGGGGTAAAGTATGCCTTTTCAATATATATATATATATATATATATATATATATATATATATATATATATATATATATATATATATATATATATATATATATATATATATATATATATATATATATATATATAGGCCTATATATATTTTTTACCTAACTCTTAACTAAGTTGTTTACTAAATCTTATTTAGCTGGGTAAATAGTAAAAAATACACATTTTTGTTAATTAGATAAGGTAGTTGATAATTTTCTCATCAATTTTAGTTAATTAAAAAAACAAAAGAACAACAAACAAACAAAAAAAGCAACTCTTTATTTATAAAGTTAATCTTCGACAATATTTTGAAACTATGGGTTGTGTGTGCAAGTCTCGATGTTTTTGTTTCAGAGTTATTTCCCATCTTGTCCACTTGGCTAAAACCTTTTGACAAACACCACAGGGAGATGTCTCGTCTGCAGACCCGTGACGTCACGAGGTTTATTAGGTCAATTCAGGTGAGTCCTTTGTCTTACATTCTATCCTGACTTTAAAATTTATTTTACGATTCATCAAAATTTTAATTTTATTTTTACGACTCATCAAAAGTTAGTCCAACTGGGTAATATTATTGTTTAAGCATTCACATTTGTAGTTTATTGATAAAGTAAGGGGTCATCCATAAATGACGTCACGCTTTTTTTGACGATTTTTACCTCCTCCCTCCCCTCCGTCACACATCGTCTCAAAAAGCCAGACCCCCCCCCCCCTAAAATAACGTCACAACCCCCCTCAAAATTGCAGTTGAACTTTTCTTAAAACATCGATATTTTTCCAAAATCTTGTCTGAACTCTGTCAAAATAGAGTTTTTTAATCAATTCCTATTGCAATTTATTAAAACAGTTGTCCAAAACTCGAAATAACGTCTAAAATTCATTTTCTAAGATTGCTTTTTTTAATGCAAAAGTGTGACGATGGGTATTGTGGGTTGGAGTTTGATTTTAGGGATTTAATTTGTGGGAGGGGTAGTGGATTTGTGAAGGAGGGGGCGGATACGGTTGGGTATTTAAAAACGACGTGTTATGATACGATGATGGTAAGTATTAATTTCTTTCCTGTCTGACTGCCCAATGGCTGGGTAATTAAGACTTATTTAGTGACCTCTGCATATAACACTGTAGTATGCACTTTACTTTCTTTAACGTACCCATTAAGCTCGATGCACTTGAACCCGGTTTCGAACTTAAGACTTTCGGGTTTGCAGTCGGATACTCTACCATTCAACCACGCCGGCGATTTTGATGGTATGGATTAAAATATCACTCCATCAGTGGCAGACTTCATTAACACGAAAGAAAAAAAAACATTTTCAATTTGTAAAAAGTTTGCACAATCTATTTCCAGGAAAATATCTCCGATTTCAAAACCAGCTCCTGTGACAACATCATCCATAGTCTGCTGACCAAAAGAGTGGCGTCTGCTAACTCGAACAACGACCTTGACCCACCGAGAGAAACGAAGAACAAATCAGTTCTCCAGGAGACGGAGATTGTGGGCGAGGTCTCCGGACTGCTGGGGGGAGGGGTGGGGCCCATTGCTGCGGCCTTGACCTTATGTATCTACAACCTGGCCGTCTACGAGGAGGAGCAGATGAGGCTGAGGGAGGAGGTGGAGGCGGTGACGTCATCCAAGGTAAGTTTAATGGGGGAGGTGGTGGAGGCAGTGACTTCATCAAAGTGAGGTGGAGTCGGTGACGTCATCAAATGTAAGTTTAGTGGTGACGTCATCAAATGTAAGTTTAATGAGGGAGGTGGAGGCGGTGACGTCATTAAATGTAGATTTAATGAGGGAAGTGGAGGCGGTGACGTCATTAAATGTAGATTTAATGAGGGAGGTGGAGGCGGGTGACGTCATTAAATGTAGATTTAATGAGGGAGGTGGAGGCAGTGACGTCATCAAATGTAAGTAAGGCGGGGTACATTGCAATAACTATATTTTAAATGGCCCAAGACGCAGTTATGTAACCCTAGAACAAAAATTAAGTAGAGTTTGAAAAAAAAACCGGAATAACACAATTTTAGAAAAACAAAATGCTTATAACATCTACATTAGTCACTACGGTAGGCCCTATTTCATTATACTACGATACCATTAACAAGTGTATTAGTTATTAGTGTCATATTAGTGTCATTATATTATTTATACAACAATGAACATAAAATCTAAGGTTATTTTATATAGATCTGCTCATAATACAATATAACAAAGTGACAGTGCCACATCTCATTTTGTGTTTTATTGGAAGTGCAATTTTAAAATTAAAAGAAAAAATATTTTAAAAGAGCAATATCTCAACTGTGATTTTAAACATACATTTTCGGTTAACGAAGTTCGCGTAATTGATCTATACTTGTTGTCTGTATGCGCAATGTTCATACATGTACAGATTCTATACTTGTTTGTCTTCACAAAGTTCATGTAAACATTCTACTTGTGTAGAAATTTATATACATATTCTACACTTTGGTGTCTATCTTCACAAAGTTCATGTACAGATTCTACTTGTCAACTGTCTTCACAAAGTTCATGTACAGATTCTACTTGTTAACTGTCTTCACAAAGTTCATGTACAGATTCTACTTGTTAACTGTCTTCACAAAGTTCATGTACAGATTCTACATGTGTCTGTCACAAAGTTCATGTCCATATTCTACACTTTGGTGTCTGTCTTCACAAAGTTCATGTCCATATTCTACATTTGTTCATCTTCACAAAGTTCATGTACATATTCTATACTTGTGTCTGTCACAAAGTTCATGTACAGATTCTATACTTGTTCATCTACACAAAGTTCATGTACATATTCTACATTTGTTCATCTTCACAAAGTTCATGTGCATATTCTACATTTGTTCATCTTCACAAATTTCATGTACAGATTCTATTTGTTAACTGTCCTCACAAAGTTCATCTACATATTCTACATTTGTTCATCTTCACAAAATTCATGTACAGATTCAACATTTGCTCACCTTCACAAAGTTCATGTACATATTCTACATTTGTTCATCTTCATCAAGTTCATGTCCATATTCTACATTTGTTCACCTTCACAAAGTTCATTTACATATTCTACATTTGTTCATCTTCACCAAGTTCATGTCCATATTCTACATTTGTTCATCTTCACAAAGTTCATGTATATATTCTACATTTGTTCATCTTCACAAAGTTCATGTACACTTTCTACGTGTTAACTGTCTTCACAAAGTTCATGTACATATTCTACATATGTTCATCTTTACAAAGTTCATGTACATATTCTACATTTGTTCATCTTCACAAAGTTCATGTCCATATTCTACATTTGTTCATCTTCACAAAGTTCATGTACATATTCTACATTTGTTCATCTTCACAAAGTTCATGTACATATTCTACATTTGTTCACCATCACAAAGTTCATGTACATATTCTACATTTGTTCACCTTCACCAAGTTCATGTCCATATTCTACATTTGTTCATCTTCACAAAGTTCTTGTACAGATTCTACATTTGTTCATCTTCACAAAGTTCATTTCCATATTCTACATTTGTTCACCTTTACAAAGTTCATGTCCATATTGTACATTGGTTCATCTTCACCAAGTTCATGTCCATATTCTACATTTGTTCATCTTCACAAAGTTCTTGTACAGATTCTACATTTGTTCATCTTCACAAAGTTCATTTCCATATTCTACATTTGTTCACCTTTACAAAGTTCATGTCCATATTGTACATTGGTTCATCTTCACAAAGTTCATGTACATATTCTACATTTGTTCATCTTCACAAAGTTCATGTACATGTTCTACATTTGTTCATCTTCACAAAGTTCATTTCCATATTCTACATTTGTTCACCTTTACAAAGTTCATGTCCATATTGTACATTGGTTCATCTTCACAAAGTTCATGTCCATGTTCTACATTTGTTTATCTTCACAAAGTTCATGTACAGATTCTACATTTGTTCATCTTCACAAAGTTCATGTCCATGTTCTACATTTGTTTATTTTCACAAAGTTCAAGTACATATTCTACTTGTTAACTGTCTTCACAAAGTTCATGTACAGATTCTACTTGTTAACTGTCTTCACAAAGTTCATGTACAGATTCTACATGTGTCTGTCACAAAGTTCATGTCTATATTCTACACTTTGGTGTCTGTCTTCACAAAGTTCATGTCCATATTCTACATTTGTTCATCTTCACAAAGTTCATGTACATATTCTATACTTGTGTCTGTCACAAAGTTCATGTACAGATTCTATACTTGTTCATCTACACAAAGTTCATGTACATATTCTACATTTGTTCATCTTCACAAAGTTCATGTGCATATTCTACATTTGTTCATCTTCACAAATTTCATGTACAGATTCTATTTGTTAACTGTCCTCACAAAGTTCATCTACATATTCTACATTTGTTCATCTTCACAAAATTCATGTACAGATTCAACATTTGCTCACCTTCACAAAGTTCATGTACATATTCTACATTTGTTCATCTTCATCAAGTTCATGTCCATATTCTACATTTGTTCACCTTCACAAAGTTCATGTACATATTCTACATTTGTTCATCTTCACCAAGTTCATGTCCATATTCTACATTTGTTCATCTTCACAAAGTTCATGTATATATTCTACATTTGTTCATCTTCGCAAAGTTCATGTACACTTTCTACGTGTTAACTGTCTTCACAAAGTTCATGTACATATTCTACATATGTTCATCTTTACAAAGTTCATGTACATATTCTACATTTGTTCATCTTCACAAAGTTCATGTCCATATTCTACATTTGTTCATCTTCACAAAGTTCATGTACATATTCTACATTTGTTCATCTTCACAAAGTTCATGTACATATTCTACATTTGTTCACCTTCACCAAGTTCATGTCCATATTCTACATTTGTTCATCTTCACAAAGTTCTTGTACAGATTCTACATTTGTTCATCTTCACAAAGTTCATTTCCATATTCTACATTTGTTCACCTTTACAAAGTTCATGTCCATATTGTACATTGGTTCATCTTCACAAAGTTCATGTACATATTCTACATTTGTTCATCTTCACAAAGTTCATGTACATATTCTACATTTGTTCATCTTCACCAAGTTCATGTCCATATTCTACATTTGTTCATCTTCACAAAGTTCATGTATATATTCTACATTTGTTCATCTTCACAAAGTTCATGTACACTTTCTACGTGTTAACTGTCTTCACACAGTTCATGTACATATTCTACATATGTTCATCTTTACAAAGTTCATGTACATATTCTACATTTGTTCATCTTCACAAAGTTCATGTCCATATTCTACATTTGTTCATCTTCACAAAGTTCATGTACATATTCTACATTTGTTCACCTTCACAAAGTTCATGTACATATTCTACATTTGTTCACCTTCACCAAGTTCATGTCCATATTCTACATTTGTTCATCTTCACAAAGTTCTTGTACAGATTCTACATTTGTTCATCTTCACAAAGTTCATTTCCATATTCTACATTTGTTCACCTTTACAAAGTTCATGTCCATATTGTACATTGGTTCATCTTCACAAAGTTCATGTACACATTCTACATTTGTTCATCTTCACAAAGTTCATGTACATGTTCTACATTTGTTCATCTTCACAAAGTTCATGTACATATTCTACATTTGTTCATCTTCACAAAGTTCATGTCCACATTCTACATTTGTTCATCTTCACAAAGTTCATGTCCATGTTCTACATTTGTTTATCTTCACAAAGTTCATGTACAGATTCTACATTTGTTCATCTTCACAAAGTTCATGTCCATGTTCTACATTTGTTTATTTTCACAAAGTTCATGTACATATTCTACATTTGTTCATCTTCACAAAGTTCATGTCCACATTCTACATTTGTTCATCTTCACAAAGTTCATGTACAGATTCTACTTGTGTCTGTCACAAAGTTCATGTCCATATTCTACATTTGTTCACCTTCACCAAGTTCATGTACACATTCTACACATGTTCATCATGTTCCTGTATCGCCAGAACGAGGTGACGATGGATGAGTTGTGTCAGCTGACTGTCATGGACCGATACATCAACGAAACACTTCGTCTCTACCCCGTGGCCCCAGGGTAAGATTAGTGTTTGCAACATGCCATAATATTGTGTTGCACTGATCATAACAAACAAAGATAGAGTGGTTTCCCTTTGTAGATATCCATGCCTGTTAAAAATGGGGTTGTGTTAATATGCTGGAAAGGGAGGGAATCGTATTTTTTAATGTTTGTGACCTTGTCCCATTATCAGACTTAAACTATCTGTTACAATCTGGAATATATAAAAAAAAAATTGAGTCTCTGAGTTTTTTTGTGACATTTTTCCGCCCTTTATAAAAAGTGTTGATAGTTTATCTTTTCCCCTTTTTTACACAAACATATTTTATAAGTTAAGTTGTTCCAATTTTCCAGTTTTAAAACACGTTGCGCCGCGTTTGCAATTGCGACATGTATACTTTACATGTCTAGGAAAAATAAACAAACTAAATATAAATGTTCCGGGGGATTTTATTTTCCATATAATATTAACTTTTAGCGAGTTTTTTTTCCCCAGACAAGTATAATATACGTGTTGCTAGTGTTAACGAGGTGTAAGATTCTTTTAATCACAAATATCGTACTCTAACATATTCAAATTTAGCACCTTCTTTCGCACTCCTAGTTATTACTCTCACAATTTTCCCAACATTCTCACTCTCTCGATCATTACCCTCAAACTCGCCCCCCCCCCCCCCTACACTCATAATCGTCCACATAATTTCTACAAAACTTCCTGTTTTTACTGTCATCTATTCTTCTGAATTCCCACACTCCTAATTATAATCCCTACACCTCATCACACCTTTAAATAATACACTCGCCCCTCACTACATACCCCCACATTCCTACTTATAATCCCCACACATAGTCCCACACTCTGATTTATCTCCCCCACACTTTACCCCCACCCACACTTTTTGCAACACCCCAGTTATCACTGTCATTCATTCTTATATATTCCCACACTCCTACTTAAAATTCCTACACACACTCCCATACTCCGATGTAACACCCCACACCTAACTCCCACCCCCACACTAAAACCTCGATCCCCACCCGTTCCTCAGCGTAAGCCGTGAGTGTGTCGAAGACTGCACCATCAACAACGTGACCTTCACCAAGGGCATGGTCGTGAGGGTCATGATGTCCACTATCAATTCCAGGGAGGACATTTTTCCAGAACCGTCCAGGTTTAATCCAGACAGGTAACTATCACGTCTCACTGACCTCAATAGGTAAGTATGACAGGTAACTATGACGGCTCATAAACCTCGATAGGTAACTACGAAAGGTAACAATGATAGGTAACTATGACGTCTCATAATGATAGGTAACTATGACGTCTCATAATGATAGGTAACTATGACGTCTCATAAACCTCGATTGGTAACTATGACGTCTCATAATCCTCGATAGGTAACTATGACGTCTCATAATCCTCGATAGGTAACTATGACGTCTCATAATCCTCGATAGGTAACTATGACGTCTCACAAACCTCGTTAGGTAACTATGACCGTCTCATAAACCTTATTAGGTAACTATGACGTCTCATAGACCTCGATAGCTAACCTTGAAACCACCATGAAACTATAATGTATCTATAACTGACAAGTAACTATTAAGGTTGCATTAACCTTAAGATATCTATAAAGTATAAATACAACCTAAGGTAACTATTAAGCCTTCATTAACCTTAAGGGATCTATGAAGTATATTTACAATATAAGGTAACAATAAGCCATGCATAACACTGATATTTAACAATTAAGTCATTCACTCCATAATTAATTATGAAACTTTAATAACCATGAAGGATTACTATGAAATCTCAACAAAACTGACAGATAATAAAGAAACGCCCACAAGCCTAGCACATGCATTATATCATATTAAGAAGTGTAGGATATCTATTTTAACTGACTCAAACCATAACGGTTTATATTGACAAAGTGTATAGTTATTTTCACTAAAATATTGTGTTTCCTATAGTAAAATAATAATGTGATATTTCAATAAAGCTACAAGCATTATTTTGTACCGAGTTTATATGTATAACATGGAGGGGGTGGGGGGGGGGGGGGGGGGTTCGGGCGCCCAACTATCTTAAATAATATGTCCACAATCCTGTAGATTTCGCGACCAATAGATGCTATTTTAAACTATAGATTTATCCTCTCCGTGTACTATTTTAAACTACAGATTTATACTCTCCGTGTACTATTTTAAACTACAGATTTATACTCTCCTTGTACTATTTTAAACTCTAGATTTATCATGTACTATTATAAACCACAGATTTATCCTCTCCATGTACTGTTTTGAACTACAGATTTATCATCTCCGAAGATGACGAGGGCGCTACAGACACGTCACTTCCTCAAGCATGGATGCCGTTTGGTCTAGGTCCCCGGATGTGTGTTGGCCAAAGACTGGCCTTGCTGGTTCTAAAGTTGGCCCTGGCCCGGCTGTTGCAGGAGTTCACTATCACTGTGAGCCATAAAACACAGGTAGTGCCATTATATTTGGGGGTCAGGGGGTGGGGGCGTCTATAGACACAGGTAGAGCCGTTATACTTGAAGTGAAGGGGGTGACCATACCTGACACAGGTAAACTTGTTATACTTGGGGTGGGGGGGGGGTGGGGATGTCCATACATGACACAGATAGAGCCGATATACTTGGATTGAGGGGGTGTGGGCGTCTATACCAAACAAAGGTAGAGTCGTTATACTTGGATGAGGGGATGGGGGCATCTATACCAAGCAAAGGTAGAGTCGTTATACTTGCGGTAAGGGATGGGGGCGTTTATACGAAACACAAGTAGAGGCGTTATACTTGGGGGCGAGGGGGTGGGGATGTCCATACATTATACAGGTAGTGCCGTTATAGTTGAGGGGGTGGGGGCGTCTATACCTGACACAGGTAAAGCTATTATAGTTGTGAGGGGGTGGGGGGGTGTCCATACATAACACAGGTAGAGACGTTATATTTGGGGTGAGGGAGTGGGGGTGTCCATACATAACACAGGTAGAGACGTTATAGTTGGGGTGAGGGGGTTGGGGTGTCCATACATAACATAGGTAGAGGCGTTAGACTTTGGTGAGGGGGGGGGATGTCCATACCTGACACAGGTAGAGCCCTTATATAGTGCACGACTGGTAACCCAAAAGTCTCTTGTTCAGATCCCAGTCTTGAGTCCGTACGAAGTTACCGAGTCCACGTTAGAGAAAATAAAGACGGCTGGGCAAAGTGCTGACCAAACTATCCCTTAATATACTGATGGTATAGACATGTGAACTATCATTCACCCCATGGGACCACCATGTTCGAAAGGAAAACTTTGTATCATATAAGGACATGTTGTTAACTTATTATGTTTTTACCCAGATACATATTAGGACATGTTAACATGTTTTTCGAAAAATACATATTAGGACGTGTTAACATATGTTTTTCCCCAGAGACATATAAGGACATGTTAACATGTTTTCCCCTAGAGACATATAAGGACATGTTAACATATTTTTTCCCCAGATACCACTGAAAGTTGTACTCCGACCTTTTATTGTTGCACGGAATGGTGTTCACATCAAGGCTGTCCGCAGAGTGACCACATCAAGGGTGTCAGCAGAGTGACCACACTGTCCGCAGAGTGACCACATCAAGGGTGTCCGCAGAGTGACCACATCAAGGGTGTCCGCAGAGTGACCACACTGTCCGCAGAGTGACCACATCAAGGGTGTCCGCAGAGTGACCACACTGTTCGCAGAGTGACCACACTGTCCGCAGAGTGTTCACATCAAGGGTGTCCACATGAAGTGTGTCCACAGAGTGACCACATCAAGGGTGTCCGCAGAGTGACCACATCAAGGGTGTCCGCAGAGTGACCACATCAAGAGTGTCCGCAGAGTGACTACATCAAGGGTGTCCGCAGAGTGACCACATCAAGGGTGTCCGCAGAGTGACCACATCAAGGGTGTCCGCAGAGTGTCCACACTGTCCGCAGAGTGACCACATCAAGGGTGTCCGCAGAGTGACTACATCAAGGGTGTCCGCAGAGTGTCCACATCAAGGGTGTCCGCAGAGTGACTACATCAAGGGCGTCCGCAGAGTGACCACATCAAGGGTGTCCGCAGAGTGACCACATCAAGGGTGTCCGCAGAGTGACTACATCAAGGGTGTCCGCAGAGTGACCACATCAAGGGTGTCCGCAGAGTGTCCACATCAAGGGTGTCCGCAGAGTGACCACATCAAGGGTGTCCGCAGAGTGACTACATCAAGGGTATCCGCAGAGTGACCACATCAAGGGTGTCCGCAGAGTGACCACATCAAGGGTGTCCGCAGAGTGTCCACATCAAGGGTGTCCGCAGAGTGACCACATCAAGGGTGTCCGCAGAGTGACCACATCAAGGGTGTCCGCAGAGTGACCACATCAAGGGTGTCCGCAGAGTGTCCACATCATCTCGGAGTGTGGGTAGAGTGAGCGACACACGACGAATAAGAAAACAAAACTCAATCAAACACTTGACAGACACACACGCCAGACAGACAGACAGACATATTTCAGTAGACAGACAAAACCACGCATATGAAACATTGAAATATAAAAACTCAATTTTATACCTATTTCATTCATTTATGCCCGCCTAATACAAATCTTTAATTTCATCATTTAAATAAAAACGCATTTTGTTCAATTTTTTTTAATGAATAACTTCTTATCCAATTTGCCAAAGACAAAATGTCGTGTCATCAGTCATTCCGGGATCTAAACTTGAGACTTTCAAATTGGCGTCGAGCGCACTACCTTCCGGCCATGTCATCCCAAAAGCAAACACCTTGCAACAAACCGAACCTATCCGCAGGTGAAGGGGTCACTCGGCGCTCTATACGGTAGAGCGCTAGGCTGCTAATCCGAAAGTTTTGAGTTCGAATCCGGGTTGAAGTCAGTAGAACGAACCGGAAACCACTCATTTCTGTTGGGTACCTAACGCATGCTTCGGTAAAGTAAAGGCGGCTGGGCAAAGTGCTTACCACACCTTCTCTTTTTATGGCGAAGTCAAGAAACATAAACTCCACATCATCTGCCAAATGGATCGCTAAGTCTAAAAAGGATTTTTCAAAAACTGTATCAGTCATTCATTCGCATAATGCAAAAATGTTTAATATTTAATTATTTAAATATTTAATATCTACTTCAAACTTTTTACTTGTACATTGCAAAAAACCTAATTCAATTCCGCTCGCTAAAAATTACAATACGTTTCAGTCGTGAAATCCTAATTGATCTACTTACATGAAAATAACGATATCGAACTCGATATATTTTGTTTTTTTCCAGCCATCATTTATCTAATAGAAAAAGCCGAAAATCGATCACTTAATGATCTGCTGACGATTCGGTTATACTGACAAACAAACACGGGTGCTTTGTCTACTAGGATTGATCTTTTCTGTTGTAGGGGTTTTTAAGCTTGTAAAAGAACTGTATTAATAGTTTGATGAAAGTGATACAAACACAGGCCCATACAAATAGAAGAACTAATATAGGAAGTAATATATAAAATCTATACGTATTGTATTTCAGAGGGACGGCGTGGTGGGAGGGTAGCGTTAATGACTGTAAACCTGAAAGTCTTAAATCCTGAAACCTGGCTGGCGTTTGTCTGGAGTTTCTGAGTTCACCCAGCTCTAATGAGTACCTAGTCAGTTTGGGAAACTGCTTTTCATAGTGCTAACCACACTACCCCTTGTATGTTGAGGTCATTGAAACAGACACACTCTACTTTATTTGCCCCTTGTGTGTTAGGGAAAGAGGAGTGATGATGATTTTATATTCAAGTACTAGAATTTGTTTTTATAGCGAGCGTTTTTAACAAAAAAAAAATATTAGGAAATTTAACAGATAGTTCGGATTCGCGTCACATTAAAGCGAACCTCCTTACTACAACTTGTACTGTCAGATAATCACAAAACGAGAAGAATATATTCTGATTAGGTCTAATTTTATGTGACATCCATTCTCTGGAATCATGGACCACAGGTCAAGTTTGAAAGAAATCTGACTGGTAGGATTGGACGAAATTTCAATACAAAGTTTTTAACCATAACGGACGAAGCTATAGGTATATAAAGATATTAACAAGATAAAATACACGATGAAGTAGGTTAAAGATTTTAAAACTTAAGTTTTTTTAAAAATTATTTTTTGTGTGACTCTGACTGCGTCAGGTTTGCCTTACCATGTTCGCTATAGTATTACAGTTGTCATCTTCGGTTTGTGAGGACTGATACAGATTTACGTAGTAATACTTCTTTCTGACATATAATTTCATTTATTTAAGATGGTTTACTCATACATAATACAAAACGTTTAAATACAATTATATTTTTAAACCGGAAAATGCAATTGTCTATTGGATTTTTTTCAATGGGGTGGTTTGGGTATGGGTTTATAAGTAGAGCTGAAATAAATTTTGGGATTAAAGAAAAAATAATATGATACATATTTAAAAAATAAAATAGAAAACAGAAGGGTATTTATTGTTTCAGTGGAGTGGGTTGATGGGACATGAGCTTATAACTAGAGCTGAAATAAATTTGGGATTAAAGAAATATAATAATATAACATTATAAACATTGGATGATATTTTGAGTACAATGAGACATCAAATCAAACTTTCTTCCCTTTGAAACAGCTATATCTATAGCAGTCCTATCAGTTATATATATATATATATATATATATATATATATATATATATATATATATATATATATATATATATATATATATATATATATATATATATATATATATATATATATAAATTTATTTTAAACATTATAAAATAATATTTCATTTTGTAGTTATATACAGTTTCAAAAACATGATCTTAAATTGTATGTATAGTAATTAAATGAAGAATTTAAAATGGCATTACAAAATGGATTTAAATTGGGGATACAACTCTTTCAACCTCTTAGTTAAAGAAATAAAAAGTAAATTCCCCTATCAAACTTGACGGTCTTTGGGGCAGGTGAAGTAGAGTTCACTTGTTTCTGTGACCTCGGAATATCAAAGGGTTGGTGTGGTCCAGGGTCGGCAACCTGCGGCTCGCGAGCCGCATGCGGCTCTTTTGTTATCAAGATGCGGCTCTCCAGCTCTTTGAACAAATATTAATAATCTTAATAAAAAAATAAAATATTTTAAATAAAAAAAGTGTTAGTGGCTCTTAAAAACCAGGGAAATTTTGAAAATTGTAACTTTTGGCTCTTCCGCTTCAAAAGGTTGCCGACCCCTGGTGTGGTCGGAACTATGCCAAGCCACCTTTGAGTTTAAATTTTTAAATTTTATTTGAAATAAATTGCACTTTCAGTGAACAATATGGCGAACTCACACTGAAAGTAACCTCAAATTATTCTACTTTTTAAAATGTAATAAAGTTAAATGTTTTTTATTAATTTAAAGCCCAAGAAATTAATCGAATTTCCGTTGTTTCGAGAGTTAACATAACATTCTATATTAAATATAAAATATGTGCTTAATACTTTTAAGAAATTATATGCCTTACGCCTGTTTTTTTGGCTACTGTTGATTTTTTTAAATATATTTTTACTGAGCAAGTTTATTAATTATTTCCCATAACTGATTAAAACTTTGACATGGGAAGTAACTAATACAAATTACTGTTAAGTAATAAAAGATTCCGTTGTCATGGGGGGAGGGGGTCTACTTATGAAAACAATTATGTAATACATCTTTATTGGCAGACCTCACGACATGGAGGACGGCGGGGGAGGGGATAAGGGGAGTGGGGGCGGGAAATTGACAACCAGAGCCGCCCAAAGCCGACCATAATTTGTAAAAATAATTTCAAAATGTGATTTTCGTGTATTATTGCATTAATAGTTGTTTTATAAAATGAAGGCTGCACCTGTGGTTAAATTATTTAACTTAATTAATTTAAATTAAGGTTTGCAGTCCATGCTCTTGTGTAAACATTACAAAACTACTACATATAGCTTACTGTATGAGACGGCTTGACCCAGCGGCCGAGAGCTCGACAACTAACCCGAAAGTCTTGAGTTCGAATCCGGGTTCAAGTCAGTAGAATGTAATTGAGTCCACCCAGCTCTTATGGGTACCTAATTCTTGTTAGGGAAACAAAGGCGGCTAGGCATAGTACTGACAACACTATCCCTTCATATGCCGAGGTCTCTGGGAGTCTTGGGCACGAACAGGAAAAGATGACGATATATATATATATATATATATATATATATATATATACTTTATAAATAACTATTATATACTATATACAATATATTACTTCATAAATTACTTTTTAAAAATTAATACAATTATTAAAAACGAGAAAAATGGCCCGTTGAGGAAGGATACAACGGGCGCTAGGCTGATAGTACTGTCTCTTTTCTCTAAACCAGGGGTCTCCAAACTTTTCAGCCCGAGGGCCGCATTGACTATCAAAGTTCAGGTCGGGGGCCAGTTTCTTCTAGGCATGTCTTTGATTTTTCTGGGCACAGCTCCTCAGCTATCACCAACAAACGCTTTTTTTCCGTGGACAAAACGATCTCCGCGGGCCGGATGAGAGTACCTCGCGGGCCGCATCCGGCCCGCGGGCCGTAGTTTGGAGACCCCTGCTCTAAACTAAATGCATAGTAATTCGAAAAACGAAGTATGACGTCGCCACATTTAGCCTAGAGTAGAAAATAATCTCAAGCCGGAGAGTGCACACAGTAATATGACGTCATTGATTCTCGAGTAAACATTGAATAAAAAGGAAATTTTGTCTAATCTAAGGGGTGTGTGTGGGGGGGGGGGGTGGGGTGGTTTTAGTTTAGA